AAAAAAAAAGTTTTGGGAGTTTGGTATGGCCTTGTGAGAGCTCAGGAAAACAGCTCCTAACAGGAGGCCAGAAATCCAGGCCTCACGTGGGTTATGACACCTGTAGTCTGAGGTAAGAGTCCCAAGAGACTGACACAGAAATATTAACACAGCTACCTACAGTTCAAGGTGGAAAACAATTGCCAAAGGAATTGTCTAAATAACAGCTACTGTTGGAAAGAGCTATTGTTTAGGTTGCCACTGATGTTAGGATGAAGAGGTAAATGTAAGCCTTGTATCCTTTGTAGCATTCTTTTGTCTGTTTTTTGTTTGGGTTTGGAATTTTTAGCTGTTGAATGTCCTTAGAAGCATGGAGTTACTTATTGCATCATTTAAAACTAGAAGATATGCAGGTGGAAGATGCAAGCTTATCTAGACAGGAAATGAGCCTTTCATTCCTGTTCTGTTCACATTAATTCAAGGGAAAATAATTATGTTTTGAGTTTGTTTTGCTTCCATTGTTGGTTGGAAAGGAAGTGTCTCACCAGTGGTGAGAAATGAAAATTCTAAGAACTGTCCTTTCAGAGATTATACTTTCTCTTGGTCCTTGGTTCTTTTGGAAAGAGTGTTCTGGGGAGAGCAAAATGAAGCAGAATCTCCAGTTCTATGCTTGATTCTCACAGTTAGGTGTTACATGGTACAGCCTTAGGGGCAGCCCAGAGCTGTGACTGTGAGGGGGGGTGCACTCCTACTCCACTAGAGAAGGGCAGGAGGCAAACCCCAGAGTCATGCAAGTCCCAAGTTAATAACTTGGTTTGGAGGAGAGGAAAGAGTGCATCAGTCTGCTGCTGCCATGTAAGCACTGACAGCAGGCATCTGTCTGTCCTTCATCACCTACAGCTCTGTATCATTTGCCATTTGGTGCTTACCAAGTACAGGATTTTTGAAAGTCTTCGTGTGCCCAAGTCTAACGTGTCTCAAAGTGGAAACAAAAGGCTGGCTCAAATTCAGGGAAAAAAGAGCTTTTTGTGACCATAAACATCTATTTAGTTCAGCAGTTATGGACTGATCATCTGAGTAAGTGAACACTGTTGCTGGTTTGGGTTTTCTCTTTGCTTTGTGGGTTTGTTTGTTTGTTTTTAATAAAACCAAGGAACCAGGAATCAGATCCCTATTAATAATACAGCAGAAATGGAAACAGCTCAGACATAATTTGCACTTGCTTTGTTTGACAGTACAACATCTGCTCAAATTGCACCAGGAAATCCATTAGCCTTTCAAATCCAAACTTGGGAGCTGGCATACTGGAAAGATGGATACAAATACTAGGTCAAACAGAACAGTCACTCTAGCTAACTAGCCCAGCAGTCATTAATTTCTATTTTCTTCCTTTCCCATTGTCTTTGTTTTGCCTTGTGTAATGCTTGCTTCCTGGTGTGCAGTTTTCTTGGCTGAGTGTGGTTGGGGCACTGGTACCCTGCAATAAGGAAATCAGCTGTGGAAGTGTGGGGCAAGTGTTGGAATCTGAAATGCAGGGAATTGTCACAACTTTGGGCCTGTAAGCCAAAGCTTAGAATTAAACACAGGATTTCATCTGAGACCTTGGAAAAGGTTTCCAAACTTAGGTGTTAGAAGCAAGAATGTGAATTTATAGTTTAAAGCAGAGACATGTTATGCTAGATAGAGGAAAGTTTAGAGTTTTAGAGTACAGTACTGTAGGTTTGTATGTCATAACATGACTGGCTAAGAAAGCTTACACTGTAGTATGAGTCCATAAGATGGAAATATTTAAGGATTGGATGAAAAACATAAATATCCTTGTTGGCAGTGTTTTATTGGTTAATAAATCCTTCAAAGGTCTTGTAACCAGAGGTCTTGTGACCTTCTGAGCCATGGGGTAAAGATGTGAGCCAAACTGAGCCTCCTGCTTATGCAGAAGATAAGAAAAATAAATTGCATCATCTAAAGCAACTCAGAGGTCCTGTCTGTAACTCATTCAAAATTCCTCACAAATAAGTCTGCAGCAAAGGTGTTTGACCAGACACCAGGAGGTGAGGAAGCTCCACATGCTGTGAGTGGCCACAAACAGTGTTCTAGCTCCTGCTTCTTCTTGCCTGCAACCTAAAATCTGTTCAGGGCTGGGGCTGTGGAGAAGACTGAGAGAAACCCTGAGGTATTTGTTAAGAGATTGCACCATGGTAGGTCACAGGCTTTTGTAGCAGGTCATCCCTCATGCAATGGGAAGGCTTTTAAGGAGATGAAGAGAGTGGTCTGCTTAGAGACTTCCAACTCTGCCTGGAAAACTGGGCTCACAGAACATGGAAAAGGCATGTTCTTCCATCATCTGCCTCATCTTTATGTCACAACCCTGATAGAAAATCACAGTGCTGCTGGATTCATTGCTTCATTCAGTACAGAATGAAACAGAATGAGCAGCAGTACTCCCCTCTGAACACACCAAGATGCAAACACTCCTTTGAGGCTGGAGAGGGAGAAGTCCTTCCCCCACTGTGCTCTCCTGAGGTCCCTGTGTGGCTCTTGGGCAGTTTGTGTTGTCCTAGGAGCAGGGGGCAGTTCAAACTGTGTTGGTTGCTGCCTGTGTACAAACCCTGTGTAGCTCCCCCCAGGCTGGGGGCAGGTGCTACAACACAAGTGTTTTCCTGGGGCCTGATGTCCTAATATTTTCCTGGTTGTGGTTCTTGAGGCGCTGGCTTAATGTGGCTGTAACATAGTCTGGTATCCTAACCCAGTTCCCTGTTGGAATTGTGTTACAGCTCTGCTGGGCAGCATTAGTTTCAAGTAGTGACCCAGTTAATGGGCATTACAAGGAGGTATGGGTTTGGTTGTTAATACCTGGGTTTCTTTCCTTCCATGTTCATTCTGCACTTGCTGGAGTGTTGTAGTTTATTCTACAATCCATTTTTCAAGAAGGAATCTTCCTGCCGTCATTATGTCGTTCTCTGGCAAATAAATTTAACATTAATTCATGAGAGCTTTCCAAATGTTGTATTACTGCAAGTAAATGAATTTTGGAAATTGTGTCCCCTCTTGAGAGGCAATGTAGAAATGATATTGTAGTGTGATACTGAGTGAGAATTAAGAAGACAATGTGAACATGAGACAGAGGGAGGAAACTGCCCTTGCCATATTTTGGCAACCCATTGTTCTAGGTAGAGAAAGGCTATGGTGGAAGTCCCTAAATAGTCTGGTATTTTCACCTTCTTAGAGGCCTTTTTCTGTTGCACAAAAGCCTCACTGTACTGCTGAAGAAAGTAACCTGCACTTTTCTTTCCCTCTCCCCAGACCAGTGTGGTTAACTACATTGACCAGAGAACTAAACCAAGGAGTGACCAGCTGTTCTTTGTGGTGTTTGAATGGAAAGATCCTTTCATACAGACTGTTCAGGATGTGAGTAACCCACCAGTCCCCTCTCCAATCACTGTCTGACTGTGCCTGCATTTGCCTCTGTTACCTCACCCCAAGAAGAAATGCAGAGAAGAGTGAGGATACTTTTGAAATTTCAGTGTAGGCTCTTCCTTATGTGCAGTAATGCATTCTGTGTGGAGGTCAGGAGCATGTGATGCTGTTCCTTGGGCTGGTGAGACTCAGCATTCTGCTTGTAGCTAGAGGTACCACATAGCTAAGAAAAGCACCTGGCCCCCTCTGTTCTAGCAAAGGGCAGCTTCAGGCAGGGCTGAACTTTTTGCTTAAATAAGTCTGCTAGATAATCTGGTTTATGGACTTTTTTTTTAATTAATTGACAAGAAACCTAGAATAGGCTAAAATTAGAATTAAAATAGCCTAGTGGTTTTTTTTTAAATCTATTATTAGAATAAATTCATTAGAATAAAATGTGGTACTGTTATTTACCTGACAACCAAGGTCCAGCAGCAGCAAAATCTAGCGTGTTGGTGTTTTCTTGCCCAAAACCAGAGTGTGAATGCAGACTGTGTGGGACAGGAGTTGGTCCTTTGCACTCCTGCTGTCCCTGCAGGACCCAGGCTCCTCCTTGGCCTTTAGAGCCCAGTCCCATTCTCACACCTCTCACTCCTCTCTACTATGTGGAAGCAGATAAGGGGACTAGTATTTGTCATCTCTTACAGATTATCACAGCAAATCCCTGGAACATGATTGCTCTTCTTTGTGGTATCTTTCTGGCCCTGTTTAAGGCAGCAGACTTTGCTAAGTTAAGTGTTAAGTGGATGATCAAAATCCGAAGAAGGCATCTGAAGAGGACTCGTCAAGTAACGAACCACATAAGCTGAGACTGAGACTGCCTTTTAACTGTTCATAGCAGGAGGGATAGAAAATAACTGGAATAATCTGCAATCGGCAATTAAAGCTGAAAATCAGGTATGTTTTCTTCCAGAGAGATGCTGGCTGGAGGACCAGCCTTGGAACTGCAGAAGGAGCTAACTCTAGGACAGGTCTAACAAACTCACGCTTTTCTAGTCCAAGTTTAACAAGTTTACCTCTGTGTATGGGGGAACCAAGGGGAAAAGAGGGAACTCACTAATGTTCAGGAAGTCATCACTGTAGGAAATTGTGAAAAAGTGGACAGAGTTTGAATGTTTCTCAGACAGACCCTTTAGTTTCTGCATCAGCTGTGAGCTGCTCCCGTAGCACAGTCACTGCCTTGATAGTGCTTAGTGGAAGGTAAAGTGCTCTGAAAACATCCTGGCCTCTCTTCTCCAAAGTATGTTTCAAAACAAAACACACTGGAATTCTATTACATGTCATCTTTAAATCAAAGTACAATGACTTTAATATTAAAAAATACTTCAAGTAATCTATTGTGTGCCTTCTTTGAATATACCTGCTCTCAGGGAGGAGCTTTGCAGGAGGCAGGAGTGTTATGGCATGAGGATAAGGTGGAAACCACTGATCAGTCCAGCTCAAAGAAACTTAAGCAACAGGACAGCATGGGGGGCTGAGCTGGTGGCTGATCTCGAAGTGTGTCTCAGGCTGTTGTTTATCCCTCTTTCTGGAGTCTTTCCTAAGGAAGTGAAAAACAGTCTTTCATCAGCAGGGCAAGGAACTGTGATTCTCTGTTCTGTGGGAATGCCTGCTCACCAGCTGTGCTGGGGTGCTGGTGTCTTTTTCTTCCTTATAAGTCCCTTGTTAGTTGAGATGCCCGACTTGGATGTGTGGGCTCTACAGGGAGCAGGGCACCACTGTGTGTTTGCTCTGAAGTCTTTGCTGCAAGGATGCCAACTCAGCGTTTGCTTCTTCCTTCCTCTTCTGGCAGAGTACTCAGAGGAGTAAGTGTATCAAAAGTACCCCCTCACCTTCCTTCCTTGTTTTTGGCATCTGAGGAAGCCTTTTGGACAAAATTTCCTGCTTTCATCTGGCTTCCAGAGCAAACTGAGGCACTGCATTGACCAGACACAGTTGTAAACAGGGGAGAAAACAAGATAAACAGGATAGCAGCACTGGCTGTTTGGGGGAAAATGTTTACTCAGGGGCCAAAGATGGTTATATAGGGGAAAGGTGGTGTCCAGTCCCCACCTTATCTTCAGTACCTTGCCATGATGGCTCCTGAGCAGCTCAGCCTAGTGCACAGCAAAGGGATGAGATTAAACTGGACAAGACCAGCAAAGGCCAAACACTGCATGGTTGAAGCAAAAAAGGCTTCCCTGGGTGATGGGGAACAGGACAGAAACCAGGTAAGGGGTGGGGGATGGATAGAATCCCCCACACTGGACCCTTCCACATCAAGAAAACCCCCACTGACTTTGCTACCTAAGAGCCTATGCTATGACAACTGAGCTTTCTTGATGCCCCACTGCCAAAGGAACACCCAACTGTTCCTTGAACAGCACCTATTTCTTGGATTTTACAAAAAAAAATTATAAACAATTGGAACTGGTTCTCATGGATCCTACTGCATTTTTTTCTTCTTTTTTTGCTAATGAGGTGAGAGAAGGTAAGTTGTAAGACAACATAGCTGCAGCTGTAGGGTGAGTAGAAAACATAGTTAAATAAAGGATAAACTCCTTTTTGCAGTATGCACTATTTTTTCCTCTCAATAAACTCCCACAGCAGTCCAGTCACTACATCTCAGCTGTCAAGATGTTTTGTTTTATAAGGAAATGTTACAAGAGCAGACCAGTGATCCCAGCCAAGAAACCTTTCTTTTACAAACCTATTTATAGGAGCAATCCTGACAGCAAGTGTTGCACAATTTGGAAGGCTATCTTACAGCTCCTGTGTTGTTTTTTTCTATTACTTAAGCCTGATGTCCCTATTTTTAACTTTGGGAAAAACTTGTAACAATTACAAATGGCAGTGATTTATTCCTTGAAGCCCTGCAAGGTGTTTGGTTCCCCAACATTTCTGTAAGTTATTTTCATTTAGGCTCTAGGACAGCTGAACAAAGTTTGCCACACACTGGGAATTTTATTCTTCTAAAGGCAAAAAGGCACTGAAGCAAGGTGAGCTGTGCCTGTGTGACTGTCCTTTCCCTTCAGGCTCTGCTAGTCCCATACCATCTGTAAAACAACTACTTAAGAGACAAAAATGAAGCAACAAGTAAGTGTCATACAGTTGACTCAAACAGTGTAGCAGGGACCTCCCCACTTTAGCCACTCAGTGAAAAGCCACAATGGGCAGTTAAAAAGGTTTGTAACAGCCATTCTAATTCTCCTGGTCTTCAGAAACACAAAGATGTGAGGTACAGCACTAAATACAAACATAAAGACTTTATTGAATGCTGCTCAGTTCCCCAAAGACCTTTCATTACAAAATTTTTCCACACAACTGCAATTTAAGAGATTGGAATGGTACTCTGATAAAAGATGTGAAAAAATACTTGATCAAGTAAACAGACAAGACTTCTATAGTCAACTTTCCACCTTTGCAAAACAGACTGCATTTTCTTTAAAGAAAACAAGGAATAATTTCTCAACATTCTTCCCTCCTTACTGAAAAAAAAATTAGTAATGCCAATTTTGGTCTCATTCTTCAGTCCATGAGATGCTAAAACTAGCGCAGAAACATCCAAGATGGGTCTCTCTTGGAGACTGCACCACTCCAGAGGGTCCTTGGGCTGATGAGGAGCATCATTGATGGGCTCTCCAGAGGAAGCTCCATCCTCAGCTGTAGCAGGAGGAAATCCCTAACTAGCCCAGGACCCAAGAGGCAGCAGGAATAGGGCAGAGGCACTGGCCACCCCAACCTGTTGCAGCTCATTCTCTCCCTACCTTGCCTCCTTTCTAATGTGAGCATTGTATAAATCTAAATCTGAATCCAATCAGGAATTCAAGGACAGCTCTGGATCCAAGTTGCTTTTGGTGCTGTAAGGGGCATATACTGAATATCTCAAGTTACTGGTAACGTACCTTGGTTTTATTTGAGAAAATACAGCACAACTAGAAGCCTTTTCTATCACCTTAACCAAAGTATGCAGCAATGTGAAAAGCACATATAAAACAAGGAAAAATGTGTACGTAGCAAACTATACCACCTATGTGCAACACAATCAAGAATTCAAGTCATAATTCTCACCACTCCCATAATTATTTCACTCGTTAAGGATGATAATTCAGTTCTATGAAACATTGGAAGTGACAGTATATCAATAATTAGACAAATTTACAATAGGTTGTGGTAATGACATCACTTAACTGCTGTATTTAAATTCAAATCTTTACATTTGCCAGAGATAAAAATTGGCTGTTTCTATTATACTGATGAGGTTTCTTTTACAAATCCTTATATATTTCAAAAGGGTACAAAAAAAGAATGTCTGCTGAGTAGAGGTGGTCATTTCTTTTATTTGGCACTTGTATTGTGTGCATTGAGCACGTTGTGAGTGCTGTTCTGCTTTTCTGCCATCACCTTCTTAAGCTTTAACTCCTCCAGCCTTCTCCACAACTCTTCACGTTCCAATTCTTTCTTTTTCTCTCTGAAGAAAAGAGTGAAAAATCAATTTCAGATGTGCTTTTAGCACAATCTGGAGACACAGTACCTTAACTGTGACTTGCATCTTCTAATTCCACTTTAAAGTTTTTTTCCAAAGCTATTTTTAGAGGCAATTACACTTTCCTCAGTTAAAAAGAGCATAACAAATTTGTAATGTGAGTGCTGAAACTGTACCTTTGCTCCAGCAAATGCAGGCCATCGCTTTAGGGTGCCTTTGCACAGCTGGCTGCTGTTTTAAGGAGGTTTTTTAATCACATGCACACAAATTAAAGGACTGAGAATCTTTGTGAGGGAAGAACACAGCTACCACAGGGAGGCTTGGCAGTGGTCTCAGCTGGCCAAGGGTCACCTGTGCCCTGCCTCCCTGACTCCAGCAATGCTGCTGAGTAGGGTGAGCACTGGTTCTGCTGAGCTGTGAAGCGTTCTCCAGCTGCATGCCCTTCAGACACCTGGGGCAGCACAGCCAGCAGCAGCTGAGACCCATTTTCCACCCAGGAGGGAGCACATCCCCTGCCCAGGCAGGAGGAGAGCTGGGGCCCTCCTGTCCCCTCCCTGGGCTTGGCTCTCCCATGGCACAGCCTCACTCACGGGACACCCAGCATCAAACAGCTCCACTACAGAGCCCCACAACAGCAAAGCAGCTGCCAAAATTACAGCTTGGACTTGTTCATCAATGGGAACTTGGAAAAAGGCTCAGTACCTTTGCCTTTCTGCTTTGTATGAGCTTGTGAGTTCATCAAAGAGCTTGCCATTCATTTCCATCAGGGTTTTCAGCACGTTGTACACCAGTGCCACGATGGTTCTGGAACAGAAGGAGCACAGCCATAAGATTTAATAAGTGACAAAATTAACTTCAGAAAACAAGCATTTGATTCCTTTTTTGGATTAGAAACTTCTTATTTAAGATACTACTGTAAGATCAGGGAGTTTCTGAAACAAAATCCTCTTCTTTTTATTAATTTACAGAGGAAATTATAGTATATTTGAAATGGCTATTTAATCTTAAATTCCTGACTTCTGTAATTGCACAAGATACAATTATTCATGCTATGGCTGTACTTTAAAGCTATTCAATTATGTGAACCTTTAATAAACCAAGTCTTAACAACAATTCTGTAATATTTGAGCAATGAAATATGAGAGTCTAGAAAAATCAAACTTCTGGCTCGTAGCTTCAGGAAGGCAGCAGACAAACCACAGGCTTAGTGTGGTTTAGCACAGCAAAGCTCTCCTAGCAGTATTTCTGGGCAGCAGGAGTCTTGCTAGAGAACCAGAATCAAGAACATCAGATAATGGATTTGGGTACCTCACTTTCCTTAAACTCAGCAGCATGAGCACCACTGGCCGTGTGTTACCTGGCTGCCTGTATTCCTGCACTACCCTTCTTTTTGTGAAAGTATTCATATTTCAGTAAGCCATCTTAAATGTTGTGTTATCTCCTTTAAACCCACTCATATTTGTACAAAGAATTTTAAAAACAGTAAAATTAAACATTAAAATGCCTGTCATTAAGCTTAATCGCTAAGCAAAAAGTAGGTATACTGTCTTCTTCCTCACCAGCAGTTCCCCACTGACTGCAAAGCTGCAGCCCTGTGACTTTGGAAAAGGAGTCAAAGAAACCCCTAAGGAAATAACCTAAGAACCAGGTTTGCCTTTTCAGTGCACTCTGTCTATCATGGCACCAGGAAATCTCCCAGCTGTTCATGACAGCCTTGTGTTTATTCCATTCAAAATGCACAGTATCCTTTGCCTGTTTATACTCTTCTTTTTTAAATTTTGGGTTTTTTTGTACCCTGGGTTTCATGTGGTTTGAGGGTAAAAGCTTATTTAAGGTTTTGGTTTTCTGAGAGGAAAAGTTGGATTTTG